ATCATAGCTGGGGCATGGACGTGGTGCATTGTGAGGCGTTTGAAAGTTGTTCCATAACTTTGATACGAGCCAGCTGCGAAATTCTACTGTTTGTAGTTAGTTATTGGAGAGGGTGGGTTTCCCCATGCACTGAGACCTGTATTGGTCCATTGTGCTTCCCTCTATGATTTCTACCAGTCTCTATATCCTACCGGTACTGGTGCTTACCATCAGTCCCGCCCAGCCAGCGAGACCGGCTCTACTAGCTGAGAGGTATCTATAATGCTTCCCCCATCTACCAGAGGTATTAGAGACTGCTGTTGGGCGGGAAACGTCCGTTAATTTGGCTCAGTGACCTCCTTTGGAGATATGAGGTTCTTTTACGTGCCGTAAAGCTACGACACGGGACCCACTGCTTAAAGTCCCTCCCGGAGGACTTGTTCCCTGAATTTTTCCGCCCTTAAAAATTCGACGATCTCCGCCGGGTATTTGAACCCGCGTACTACGAGTCATGAGGTGGGAACGTTACCTCTAGACTACGGAGGCCGCTCTACTGTTTGTAAGTACGAGGTGATTGTACAAGGTGTTAACAAATCCAGTCATCCAATCCATAACCCGTTATTATAAGTCACGGAACCGCGGGCACGTGACAGTTTTTAGAAAAAAATAGTTTTTATCCCACTTTTGGAAAAATAAATAGAATTAGGCTTATGAGATCACCTTGTTGTGTGTATCTGTATATCCCCCTTCCGATAGCTTCTTAATGCTTTGATCGGTCATATGAAACTATGAAACTCCCATTAATAATACCAACACTGCAGCCCTTGAAATTGATGAGATATTCACCTGAATATTATTTGGTCATGAGATTTGGTATGTACATCATGACACCTGATTCCATTTGATTGGCGTGCTTCAGATATCTCATCTATCCGTAATATCAGCGCTGGCCGCGCCATAGCTCAAGCGGTTATTCGCTGGCTTCTCACCGTGGCGGCCCGGGTTCGATCCCGGGTCTGGTCAAGTGGGATTTGTGGTATACAAAGTGGCGCTGGGCAGGTTTTCTCCGAGTGCTTCGGTTTCCCCTGCCAATCTTCATTCCACCAATTGCTCCACAATCACCCTCACCTATCATCTGGGGCTGGTACAATAGGCCAGAAGTGGCCGCAGCACAAGGGACTTAGTCCCTCCCCACTATCAATAAAAAATATACTATCCCGAGGACTTGATTTTGGAATGTCTAATTTATTTATGCAAGTTTCAGCAGCGTAATCTCAGACAAGGGAGGCATACGTCGATATGGACCGGAGAAATGCTGTATACATTATTAACGCGAGATCAATGTCGGTGGTGCGGATTTATTTAAGAAGGGAACAGTTTCTCCAGTTTGTAGTGTGTTTTGCGTGAATTACAGGTTATATATATGCGTTCTGTGTTTATTCTGAATGAAGTGTCCCTCGAAGATGCTGTCACGCATTCGGGGTTAGCGTGACTAATAATAATTAGTTTTGGATTAGACGACTGGATTGGTTGGCACTTCTATACAATTACAGTCAGTTATAAGAGCTCCCTTCCTTACTGGACCACGAGTGTCTGCTCTTCCAATGCGACGAATGAAGAAAGAGGAATCAGTGCTCACACATTGAACTGCCTTCTGACTTCCCTTACAGAGTCAGGGTCAGGGTCAGGGTCTGGGTTACTTTACGACTGGCGGTTTACCGCCAATCAATTCGTCTTGGCGACAAGCCTCTTAAGATCCACGACCAAAATTTTTAGTTTTCCAACTGAACCCTTGCAGTTATAGTCCTTATGTAACAACCTCTCTGACGAGAGGATGGGTCTGTCGTTTACAATTGATGGGCCTCGCCAGCGTAGTCATTCTCAGGTCCGAGTTCCGCGGGAATCATGACCACATTTTACTGTGTAAGATTCGAGACTCCCCCAACCTGGAGGGCCAGGTCCCCGTATTTATATCCCCCAGGAACAGGGTGGCCCGGTTATACCCCCAGTCACTGGGTTCCTTTTTCGTCGCCTCCTACTACTCGCAGGGATACGGTGGAGGTATTCAACCCCGCGTCCACACGAGATTCTTCCCTTACGAATGAATTGAGATTCTTTTATAACTTCTATGCGGCCCGAATATAGGTCAGCACCTCCAACAGTGAGTTGCCATTCTTCTGTTTTCACGGGAATGCCTTTATTAATATTTGTTTCCGCGGAAACGTGTATCAATCCGTGGCAGCGCTTTGACCATTACCAGCATATCCGTTGCCATGTGAATCTGTGTTTGCCGAACCGTTGCCTAGCAAATGGACTTTTGTCTCTGTTCGTTGTTGTCCGGCTTTCAGGCGGTGTATGCCGAAGCTTTTTACACGTATAGCAGTGGTCATATTCATCACAATCCTTTGTCATTATATTATATTTCACCATCCTGCGGCGTTGTGGTATCATTTGCAGTCTTGTTTTCCATTTAAGTTCTAAACAACACTAAATCGCATTTAATTCACTAAAATGTTCGTTAAATGTTTAAATTGTCATTAAAATATATGCACGAGTACAGGGAACACAAAGCAACACTAGATGCACACCACCAAGAGAGCTTCACACCCAATGGGACACAAACGGCCGCAATGCAAAGATAGGAAGAGAGACCCTGCGTCGTCAAAACCAATGATAACAACCGCGACGTGCCTTAAGAGTACCGTTTGTCCAAGTGCACAGTGCAGCATGCTTCTTTAGAAGTATGTTGCGTGAATACGGCCCTGTGCGGCTGAAACATGTAGCATGAACACTCAATCTCCATATATTTTAATAAAAATTTAAACATTTAACGAACATTTCAGTGAATTAAATGTGCTTTAGGGTCGTTTGAAATTTAAATTGTTTCACTATAGACGGAAAGCAAGACTACAAATGAATTTTAGTCATTGATAATGCAGTGTTTTCTTTACAAATTTTTATTGAAGCTTATTGCGGCAATATTGACCCAGTTGTTTGGAAAGCAAAGTAGTCGTGAATTTGTTTGTATTAATTTGTATACTCCATTTCCGGAACCACGGTTCTGAAAGCGCTGTTTAACTTCCGCGCTCTTGTGCGGACCACGTGAAGAACAGTCGGTCATTCACCTGAATTCATGTTGCGTGTGATTGGTCATTGTTTGTGATGCTAACAGCGACAAGCAGTATGTATGGGATGTGAGTATCGGAGGGTGACATTTCTAAACTGCTCACACCTGAGGCCGCCAATCGGTCCTGAAACAGCTTTACATTTTCATAAGCTATTTCTCCAACTTCCATTGCCCTCCAGAGTCCATTAAGTGTTAACCGTGCATGAAAATTATGTACGCATTTCTTGTTTTCCGTCTTTGAGCCACTTATTTACTCGCACTGTATATTATTTTAATTTTATAAAGGTGACATTTCTCGTTATTTAACGTCGACACCTCTCTGAATTCTCTTCTCTTAGGTCATACACAGCATTTTGTTGAGAAATCTTTGTGAACTTGTAATTTATATCTCATCGCAAAATGTCATGTTTCACAGCTAACCACAAGTATAAATAAACAGATTGATTGATATGTTTCACAGCTGATTAAGAGAGCCGGGGTATGAGCTGAACGGATGGGTTAGATTCCCGACAGAGGCAAAAGATTTTTCTCTTCTCCATAGCTTCGAGAATGGCTCTGAGGCCCATTCATCCTCTTATTCAGTGGGTACTGGGGCTTTTTCCCCGGGGGTAAAGCGGTCGTGACTTGAAGCTTCCTCCTAGTACCGAGGTCAGGAGTGGTGATACTGTACTTCTGCTTCCCCATACATGTTCATGGCGTGGTGCGTAATTAAGTATTGGGAGGCTTTACCATTTACAGACATTTAAAAAGCAAGTTGTAAAAAAATTTGTATGTATTCATATTTTGTGATTTGTAACGGATGAAATGACCAAGGGTTTCTGAAAAGAGTAATGTCCAGTTTTCCCCGAATTTAATATTCTTGTAATTCAAACGAGAAGGTGTATGTAATATTTCTTGTGATTGCCCATCACACTTATCACAATATGTTTGTTATATGAACTGACTAGCAGGCTTGGTTTGCCTGGATTGTGTATCTTCAGTGTCACATAAATAATAGTTTGCAGTAATAGTGAATTCCATAGATACGGACCTATTAAGAAACTATAGTTATTTCCCATAATTACTGGGTGAATGAGGGTAGCTCTTTCTAAGGGACCCAACAGAGTAGGCATCTCGCCCCTCACCTGAGGATGGAAATAGATCCAGTTTCCGAAACGTTGTGTTTTATAGTTTTTAGACTATCGGGTAATGGACGAAAATCTAGAACCCAGTAATTCTGAGTGTTATACACCATCGTCAGAACCATTTAGAAATTACTTACATTTAATTTATTGCTATAGTTTTCAGTCATGTAAGTCTTGAAGCATGGAATTAAATTATAGGCTATCAGTATCTGTGTGTATCTACTACTACCCCCCCCTCCTATTTCTGATTTTGAACCACACGACCAATTTTCATGTGTATCTTGGTATGAATGGTAAGCAGTTGAGAGCCACCCAAAATGCAAAGCCCTTTTAATCTCGAAGAATGCTATCTTCTGGGATATAGTGCCGTGTAGTTTGTTTTTTTAATTTTGTACAATCAATAATAACGTGAGAGGAACATGACCATGTTTGATGGGAGCATAATTAGTGCCACTAAATCAAGGGCCCCGAAATGGTGTATGGTAAATTGGTCTTCGAAAAATATTCAGCTCTTATTAAGATAACTTTTTGTAGAATTTAAATTAACAACATGGTGGATTAGTAAAAATTCTGCATTGTTTTTGGTTCCGCGGTGATAAGTAATCGGCTATTGGAGCTACATGTCACTTAAGTACTAAGTTCTTAGCAAAAATAAAATAAAAGATAATAATTTTGTTGGTCCCTAAGACTAGGAAGATGTGCAGTAGGAAAGTAGACTTTTTGAGTTCTGCTTGGAACTCCTTGTTGATTTGATGCTCTCCCTTTTGCAGTATATGACTGAGAAGATGGGAGGAGCAGAAGGAACGCAAATGGATGTGGACTTTGTGGACATGGAGAGGGTAAGTATTGCAGCCATTATGTACAGCTATACTAGAATAGATTCCTTGAAGGGTCATTTTTATGAGTCTGAACTTCTGAATGACATGTGCCAGTAAAACTGATATAAATTAGTGTAAAGTTGTTCTTTGTGTGTACGTTTTCACATTAGCATTAGGGAATTACACCAAAACTTTGTGTAGATTCAAAATTGACTGTGTCGGACTGATATAAGTGAATTTTGTTTATATGGCGAATAATGCATACATATTTTTCGGAATACATTTGCGAATATCCTGTTTCATCATTTCTCATAATCATGTACATGGCAAAATTGTACTGTGCAAAACAGAAAATGAGAGAGAAGTCAGCCTTGACCAATTATAGGTTAACACAATATTTTCGTCATAATATTTTGCCACTTTCTCCTACAGCTTCGTTGTAATTTGGATACCAGGCTTAAATATGTCAGTGCAGTCCACTGACATTCTCACTGCACAACAAATTCTCTTTCATTAAGCTCAGTGAGGAATACCACAGAAACGTGTGTCCAACTGGCTGGCTGACTTATATGGGGGTGCAAAGCATATATGTGAATCAATAAAATTACGCGTGTGAACAGTGTATCAGGTTTTATATTTTGATTGCACATTAATTCTACCTACCGACCCACCCACCTACCTACCTACCTACTGGTACATACATACCCGCCCACTACGCACACACTACTTACCTACCCGCCACCCCAACCCATCCACCTGCATACCTACCTGCCCGCCCACTCACTTCAGTTTCCTGAATGGGAATATGATTTGAGCAGTGTTCTTGATCATACACTATTTTCATAACACATACTCGATCTTAGGATTGTAAGTTTTAATCCAGAAGGGCAGGGACACAGACTTCATATGTATTATCATCTGGAGCAATCTGACTGTTCAGACATGATTGTTTACCATAGATGCATTTTTGCTATTACTTTATGTATCCACCCCAAACACCAATTACCCAGAGAAAGGTGACTGAAAGAAGACACGGTGTTATTTGAGGTAGATATGGGCAGACACAATCAACTTAGTTTAAAAAAATGTAACCTGTACAACTTTTTGTTGAGACTTCCCCATATTGATTCCCTTCCGGGAAAATTGTAGCATGTTTTTATGCTGCAGAAACTTTTACTGGTCCATTTCAGGTTCAATATAAATTCTTAAATAGAAAGGCTGCTTTTGTTTGCGTTGATTTCTGGATGAACTGAGTTTTGTTTGGTACCTGTATACTGTGTATGTCATGACATTGTGACGGCACAAGTAAGTGGCATGAAACAACAATTAGTCATATGAAATATAATTCAGCATAGGTAGAAGTGAGTAATGCTAGTAAAAAGTAAAGCATTGCCTGACATGTTGAAGTTTACTAGGTGGCAACAAAATTACCTATAACGACTGAGTTTAATGTCCATTGTCACCTGATTTGTGAGCCGATCTCAGTCCATATGTTATACTGGCATCTTTTACTTTTGTCAAATCAGCTTTTTTAAGAGTAATGTACCTTGCTCAATTTGGTCAAATTTCAGAAAACAGATGTCACAGTTGAGCTGGTAGAAGAATTACAAATCAAAACAAAAGAGTTCCTTCAGCCTAATCCAACAGCGAGAGCTAAGATGGCAGCTGTGAAGGGAATTTCGAAACTTAGCGGTCAGGCCAAGGCAGCAACCTATCCACAGCCTGAAGGAGTCCTGGGTGACTGTATGGTCACATATGGAAAGAAGCTTGGGGATGACAGTATGTTTGGTAAGTCACTGGACATATTGACTGATGTAATGGGTAGCAGAATTGGTTTATATATTTCATTGTTGCATCTAAACTTTGAAGGAAAGATAGAGGGGCGGATAGAAGTGACCAGAAGACGTAAGAAGATGCTGGATGACCTTGGGGACAGAAGAGGATACTGTCATTTGAAGGAGAAAGCTCTAGATCGCATTAAGTGGAGGAATTGTTTTTGAAGAGACTGTGGGCCTGTCGTCTGACAGATTACTGATGATGATGATCTAAACTTGTGAATTTACAATATTGTACTTTATACTGTTTATGTTTATTGTAGTTCCCTGCCAAATTCATCAACACCTTCATCATCCTTTCCAGTATTAGGCTATTAAGATTGTTATGGATATTACAAAACTGAAGTTTCGATCATTTCATAGGTATTTTCAAACTTCTTTTTCCTTTTTTATGACATTATTCACATCTTTTTTAGAACTGTGTTAGAGCCAACTGAGTCAGCATATTCTTTTCTCTGTCTCTCACACTCTGATGAAAGGATGTAACCACATCTTCCTCCTGAAACACATTTCTGCTGATCTTGGTCCTCTCTCATTGGTCATTATTGTCTGTGATTTACTACATAAGATAATATTGGTCTAGCTGGTTCATAGTTTTGATAAGAACATTGCAAAGCATGCTAAATACAAGTACAATTTTAAACTCCTGGGAGGTTACCCTGGTTTGTTGCCATGTGGGATTGTTCAGGGGTGGCTATCACATATTCAAAATAGAATTTAAATTTGTTAACAGTGCTTATAATATTGTGCTTGATAAATTAATGTGCAGAATTATTTTTAATTAGTTGTGGTGTTTATTTTAAGAAATATCAATGAATATCAAAGAAAATTTGATTGGAAAGGTGATTGGATTGGATTGAAGGGTGAGAAATAAGATCCTGCAGAAATTCAAGTTACAAAGACAAAATGTCTTTTATTTGCTGTCAGGTATCATGAACAAGGGATAGGAACTAAAACGGTTCTTATTAAATGGATCACAGTGAACTTATATCACAAAAGATCTGTAAAGCACTAATTTCCAGCTTCTCCAAGTTTGTAGACAGGCAGATTTCATGCAAAATGTAAAGGTTATTGAATGAGCTTTCAGCATGATGATGTTTCTATGAGAAGATAAAATTATTAAGTAAAATCTGGTAGTTAAGTTCTGACACTCTGTATTCCAGGTTTGGCATTGATTGAGATGGGGGAGTCAATGAAACAGATGGCAGACGTGAAGTATTCCTTGGATGACAATATCAAACAGAACTTCCTTGAACCTCTACACCATATGCAGACTAAGGATTTGAAAGAAGTTATGGTAAATTCACATTCCAAATTTTGTTTGATTAAACACCACGTTTGTGTTACTGTAATGCAGAGAGTTCAGATGAGAAGGAAACATATCAACACCATTTTCTGCGTTCTCTGCATAACTTTCTGATGTGATAAGTTATTTGCACAGTCAATAACTATTATGATCAGTGTGATAGTGACTGAAGGTTCCGCTTGCTCAAATAATTTGTCATGAGGTCTGAGTTCATTGCACTAGTAATGAAGTATGTGATTTAACAGTGAGGTTTTATAGTTTCATGCTTTATGAGGATGAGAACAAACAGAAATTGCATTCAAATGTTCACTTATAAATTCCCATAAAAATGAGTTCTCACAAGGTCATGTGTATTGAAGCATGTTAAAAAGTAGCAGACAGCAGGTTCAGCTGGTGACAGAGCCAGTCCTAGAGGAATGTGGTACTGGAAGAAGAACAGAACATTCCGGCACAGTTAGAGATTAGGTGTCTGGAGAGTCACAATTATCCGTTTTCACAGCTGCAGGACCAATTAAATTTGCCTGTGTAAGATACTGCTTGTGCATGGGCATGAACAACCAGATTTCACAGCAGTAACTTTTATAATCAGTTGCAGCAAAATATGCATGATAGGAATGTGAGTGGTATATTGCCGCACTTCTTCAGCCAACTGACAACCAAAGGAAGACAGTTTGGGTATTTGCAGCAAAATAACCCCAATCTGCTTAAGTTCATTAGAATGATATGAAATGTGTAATTACTCTGGTATCTGAGGATGAATTTTAGAAAATATTGCAAAACTTGTTTGCATGCTGCATGGCATGCCTGAAGTGTTGGGGGTCACTTTCAGGAGTTCTTATAATGTAATGCAATTATATGTCACCTTTTATGATAACAGTTAAAAAACAGCAAAACTGATGTTGGTAAAATTGATTTGAGAGTGCTACAAGTAGACAGAATCCTGTACTGATTCTACCATCATGCTGTTACAAGAAGCATGTTTCCATCCCATTTGGATATTCTGTAAATTTGCAGTTTATTCTAAAGGAACATGTTCTTTCATTTTGAAGTTCTTGCAGTAATAATGCCCATAACTTACTTACTTACTCATGGAGCTGGGCCCTTCTTGAGGAGCTGCCAATTCTGCAGCAACTCAAGAAACACAAGCTACATCTAGAAAGTGAGAGGGCTTTCAACAGAACCGTCAGGCAGACTCAAGAATTGGAGGTCGCGAAGTGAGCAGTTGAGTTTTCCATTGGGTTGGTGAAAGTGAATGACTCAATGGTGGGGAGGGTTTATCCTCCTCCGAAACGAAAACAGGGTTGTTCAAAGCTCATCACTTGGAAAAGAACAAAGATGGCGGTGGTACACCTGGACTGGCTTTCACCTTATCAGAGAACTGATTGGGATGGACAGCCTTAAGGAAGGAGCAGCAGGAGCAGTTGGAGAGTAATCCCTGCAAGAACTGACCCATGGGAAGGAAGGCTAGGCCAATCAGAGGCATCACAAGTGCAGCCCTTGGAAAAGAAGAAATGGTGAAGGAAGAGGCTATATTGGAAACAGCAACATAGGAATTGTGTTTTCCATGCCGTCCTTGCCAAGATGTTATAAATAGGGCAGTCAGTCAAGAATTTATGTAGCTGAGCTAGAGACAATTTGGAAACCGAGAGTAAGGAGAATATCTGCCATTGGAAGCTGCTACTGAGCAATGGCTAGGGAAGACTGAGAAGACTTTATGTATGTTGTAGTTACAGTGATCTTTGGAGTGTGTAACGAAGTGAGACTGTCGAAGTTATTTGTAGTTACTTTCTGTAAGTGTTCACTAAATCTGATTACCAATCCAAACCCCATCTATATAACTCCAAAATCGTGACAGTACATTTTGCACTAAATGCTGCTGCAAAATGCCAAACATAATATTACTGTCTGAAAGAACGTGAGAACTTGACTTAAATCAGTTCATGTGCCACAGTTCTGCTATTCAATCTTGTCATCAAGAAGTATGAATTTGACCTTTCTAACCTGTTGTTAAAATTTTATCATTGCTTATGCCTGCAATTATGGATTTGTTTAGCTTTTCCTGGCAGTATTGAAGGAGTCAAGGTAACAACTCTGTAGCTCCATTTTCTAAACTCTTGGGGTTAACCTTCTTGCCCTGAACCTGCCTTAGTAGTGCTGAAGGAGGCAGTCTTTGGTGTGGGGCAGACTTCATAACCCCGTTTTCTAACCTATTGTCTTGTGTGTTTCAGCACCATCGAAAGAAACTGCAAGGCCGACGGTTGGATTTTGATTGTAAGAGAAGGAGACAAGCCAAAGGTAGACCTAGATTCAATTCAAAGTTTGTTTTTGCAATGATACTTAAGAGTATTAACTGTTGCTAATAAGGTGTGTTGTAATCTTGCATAAATGGATCAGTTTGAATATAAAAGGTATGAAATACATGTCTATGTAAGTCTTCATCTGTCTTCCAATACTCTTTCTTTTTAAGTTTGTTTTATAGCATGGCATTTGGATGAAAGTATTGTTATGTAATTTATGTTCCTGTGCATTGAACCACAGGTAAAATTTTTGTTGTAGCTCTGTTTATGAGGCACATAAAAAACCTACATATCCCAGGCTTGTCAATTTGTTGTATGTTTTGTTTACATCTGAACTAGCAGTGTGCCTGTTTTCTGTTTCATAAACTGCAACTGTTGGACCTTATGTTGCACTGTTAATGAAAGGGAATGTGACTTGAATCATGGTGCAGTCTAGTAGAATATTTAATTTTAAATTTCTGCACGTATGAATTTGATTGTGAGGCATCCACATGCGTATCTGCTTCATGCAGTTACTTGTTTTCAAACATTTAATTTGTCCACAGTAGCCTATGGAAATGTTGCACATTTTGGATTTTATAGCAGTTCTTAGACAGAAGGGCCTTCCAGATAAAGTTTTTACAGTAACTTACATTTGAAAAAAACATAAAACTTGATAAAATCTCAATTGAATTGAATTGAATTGAATTGAATTTATTTACATTCTATAAATCCTAAGTAGGTTAGTACCTTTGGATACAGAACAAGTCAAAAGGTTACATACATAAGTACAGGCAATTTTAGCTTAAAAATTAATATAACTTAATTTTACATCATTCTCTATTTACATTGAAGTATTCATCTAAAGAGTAGAAGGAATGAGCATGTAGATAATTCTTTAACTCTGATTTAAACTTTTTAGTATCATTGCCCAAGTTTTTAATACTTTGTGGCAGATTGTTGAACACTTTTATGCCAGTAAAGTAGACTCCTTTTTGATATACTGATAAAGTTGATGAGGGTAGGTGGAAGTTATATTTTTGTCTAGTATTCATGTTATAGACATCAGAATTTAATTTGAATTTATCTTTGTTGCAAACAACAAATAAGAGAAGCGATAATATGTATTGCGATTGAAGCAGTAGAATTTTTAATTTCTTAAATAATTCTCTACATGAATCTCTACTTCTACATCCTGTAATGATTCTAATTATATTCTTTTGTATTTTAAAAATAATTACACTATGTGAAGAGTTCCCCCAAAATATTAATCCATTGTTCATAATAGAATGAAAGTAGGCACGGTAAACCATATTTAAAGTAATGAATGTCAGCATAACCTGTCCTTTGTCATATAAAATCACTTTTGAGATTTTCACTTGGTTGTCATTTCTAACATATTTCAGTAGAGCCTTCCTCTGTATTTCAGCTGTATATTCTGCCATCTGTCATTCATTTACATTGCTCTTCTGTTAGGCTTGTGAATGATCTTAGATGGCAGGAAGTGACATGTTATTGTTCTTAACTGAAATTAAAATAAATGGTGTGAAAGAATAAAATTTTTCTTGAAAAAATGAACAGAAATTCTTAATTTCAGTATGTTTTTGTGTTGTTAGAAGGACTGATAATGCAGCTGACTCACTTGTGGTAGGTGCTGGCAGGCATTTAGATTTTTACGGATCCAGATTGGAATGTGATTGATGCCTGGATATCTTAGTCTACACCCACTTCCTCTCACATCCCTCCCCATGAACCATTGGCATAGCTGTAATGCTCTTAATTGCATTTAGGAGATGCTGAATTCAAATATTAGGCAGGAAGCTGGCTAACCTGGGTGAGGTTTCTCATGGTTTTTTCCATCTTTAATTAGATCATGACCACTCTTCCTAATCCTGTCAGTTCATCATTCAACTGTCATCCTAACCAGTAGTGTTTGTGTAGTCCAGCTAATGGTAATACTATCCCTGTAACAGGCTGTGTTGGCCCATAGGATTGTGAGACATTGAGACTCCCACATTTTCTCCACACATTCGGCTCACAGATGGTGGTAAGGTTGTCACCCTTACGTGCCGGCTGCCCTTTACCCCCACAAAGAATCCTGGTACTCATTTCTGTTAGAGGCTGAGTCAACCCCAGGGCCATAGTGTGGCTGGAAGGATTAAGTCAATTGAAAAAATCCATCTCTTCATGACTTGAAACCCTTGACCTTCCGGCTTGTAACGTAGTGCCTCAACCAACCGCTCTACCGCATGTCCCAAGTCCAGCTAATGACAGCATCATAAAAGAACTTTATAACCCACACTATTGAACTTAACAAAGGAGGGCATTTATAATATTTAAAAGAATGCTTCATAAGCCTTGATTGCATTGGAGAATAACATTTAATTGTAATATCTTTACCTGAACTTCACTAATTCATCTAATGAATTAAATTATATAAGTGATGTTAACCAAACTGAACAATTACGCTTTTGTTTGAAGTATATGTTAACTACATCATCATCTCAGTAATATCAAAATATTTATTTTATTGAAATATGTTGGATAATTTTAATTGCTGGTATTTGTAATTTTATTATTGCCTCACTAAATATGTACTTGTGGTGGTGAAAGAGAGCACAACTAATTTTAATCATAGTGTTTACACAGCACATCCCTGTGTTATGGAAGGGACATGTTCATGGAAATATGTGCATGTTGTGAAATTCTGTTTTTCCATTTCCAAATGTTTTAATTTGAGATGCATTTCTGTGGAATCCCCCCCCCCCATCTCACACTAGTAACAAAACCAAACTTTGTATCCATCAGAAATCGTAGTGAATACACAAAATAAACTTTTAAAACTTGAACTTGATGGACCCTTTCCAGACAAATAAGTATAATACCACAATCTGAAATAGCATATCAACTGATCTCCTATGTCAGTGATACAGACACATTGGCTAACCATTGGACAGTAAAATATTCTGTTACATTACTGATGTACAGGTACTACTCAGTCATTTGTGTTCTAAAAACAGAAAATGGTAGAGGGTGAAATTATATGAATCAAACATGTCTTCATAAGAATCAATGGAAATTTCAGACATGTGCTGTCATAAACATCATAAGATTTTCTTTTCTCTTCATTGTAACAAATATTTCTCAGTGTAGGTTCTTGGATTTCTATGGTGTGAATAGTGTTTTCTCGTTTTTTTGCCATAGTGATGAATCACATCAAACTCTTGCTCAAGATTCATTGATTTTCTTGTTCCTTTGCTTCTAAGATTTCCCTACCACTAGCCAGATACTACTTAACTTTTCCATTAATTTCTGTGAACTGTTTTAAGTGCTTATAACAAAATAAAAGTTGAACTGCAAAAGAATGTTAGCAAACAAAGACTTTCAAGTGGTAAGAAGGAAATACTGTATTGAAGAGTTCCTTATCCCAAGAAAGTGAGCCAGCAATAGATATGTAGAGGAGGTTGCATGTCTAGATGAACATTTTTCTTGTACCTGTGCATTCTTCCTCTGCCGCCCATGCAGTGCTCAGCTCTACTCCTTTCTGGCTTCTCCCAATCACCAAGGAAGCAGTCCACATTAAAGTGAGTGCTATTAATTGAAATTGGTCTAAATTAGTTGACTGTATTAAAATAAAGTCACATGTAACAAGGAGTATCTGTAGCACATGTGATCTGAATTTATTCTTGCTACACATTTTATGTTTTGAGAAATTATATTTGTCCCAAATTTCTTTAAGGACTAGTTTATGGTTGACATCATGAATCTTGTCATAGTTTATAATTTCCATAAGGATACAATTTCATGTTAAATGAATAATCTCACATAAAGAACGCATGTGGATGGTATCACATTAATATTTCTTGACACAGGAGCCTGCTGTTTGCAGTTACTGAAACAGAAATGTGCAGCCCACCTTCTATTGATACTTGCATATTGTGGGGTGGGAGCATGACTTACTTGTCACGTGTTGTTTCATTCATATTTGTGTTGTTTGTTATTATTACTCAGTGGTGTGTAAAAAGGGTGGACTCAGCCCATATGGGAGCCCATCAAGGAGCCCCATGGGGGGTCAATCTGGTATGTTGGCTCTCCCTACAGTAGATACTAAAGACCTTGCTTGGATACCTGATAACCCCATGACATACTGCAAGCTGTAACTAGTTCCAAATATGGTGACAAGTGTATTTATGATGTACTTGCTCTGTCCATTACATTGGGTTTGTGAAATAGATGCCATAGCAATTTGCTTCAGCCTCTTCCAAGGCAAGTGTTAAATGTATTTAGTTCTCATAATCCATAAGAAACATCCAGTCTGTTTTCATCTTGTTGAATAATGAACTTATCTGCAATTTGTAACTAGCCTTTGAATTGCTCATGTATGTGGGATGAGAATGTCGGGAACATTTTAAGCATGTACACTTCGTCATATATTTCATACTAATTGAACTCTTCTTTAATGTGTGTCCAACTGAGAATTAACAATCAGAAATTATGTAAAAGGGTGTCATCTAGCTGATGTAGTTTATAGATTATAGTTTAGTAAATAGATATCAAGGCCACGCCATAGCTCAAGTGGTTAGTCGCTGTCATCCCACCGCAGCAGCCCGGGTTCAATCCCGGGTCTGGTCAACAAGTGAGATTTGTGTTGGACAAAGTGGCGCTGGGGCAGGTTTTCTCCAACTACTTCGGTTTCCCCTGCCAATCTTCATTCCACCAATTGCTCCACAGTCACCCTCACCTATCATCTGGGGCTGGTACAGTAGGCTGGATGTGGCCACAGTACAAGGGACTTAGTCCCACCCCACTAGCAATAAAAAAGAAAATAGATATCAGCGTTTTGAAGGAGCCGTGAAGATGGAGGCAGCAGGTTCCTCTGAAACGTTAACCCCTGTGTACTACACTACATGGTGTCACAACCTAAAAGACAATAATCTTTATAGTCATCTCTGTGAGGGTGTAAGAGCTTTTCAGTATGTATTACGGGATGTTGAAATCTTAGCGCGGGTCATTTATGTATTTTGTATGATGATTATTGACACCAGAACACACTATAAGTTAACCCAGCACTGTTTCTCACATTAATGTTTATGAATAGGGTCATTACATTTTCCATGCAGCCACTCTATGGAATTGCTTATTGATTACTGTCACCCAGTGATTTTCTGTTTGAATCTTGAGTTGAGCATAATAGTAGTATGTGGTATGGTTTTATTGTTGTATTAACCTCTCAGGCTGGTGTCTGAGTGTGTACTTGCAAGCCCGTGAGATATGCTATTGGCGGCTGCCTGAGCCCATCTTCACTGACTGGAAGCTCACAGAAAAATTGTCTCTTAGCAGAAACTCAAGCTGACTGAATCATTATATCTCCAAATGTGGTCATTTCCACTATAATGGTTGTTTCTTCTGACTTACTTTATTTCATAGGAATTAACAGGGACTGTTTTATGACCTTCAAGGCAGTTGCTTAATGGCTTCACAATGGCTTTGACTAGTACAGTGCATAGCCTGGAAATGCTGCTTAAAAATTTAGATTGTAATGCTTCCTGAAAATTTTATAAAACTCACTTTAATGTTTTCTAAAATCTGTAATATTGAAAGAATGCTGTGAGAAATGTCTGGTAAAGGGCCATTGAAATACTGCTACAGCATGCAGCTAGCAAGGGTTTAAATACCACCTTGAGGGGTTCGTAGTACTTAGAAATGTAATGCTTTTTGTGTAGGGCACTGTTCTTCCTCTCATTGATTGTTTTCTGACCCTTGTTTCAGTGCTCTTATAAGTTTCCTTCTGTTTAGTAACTATGCATGCTAATTAATGTAGTGATAGGGCCCTTCTGGAAACTAAATGAGTTTAATGCAATGAATTTCTATTGTTATATGTAGGGCTGTAGTCGAGGAAGGGCAGTTTAGGGTGGTGCTCCAGTCTTTTTTACTTTTGGGAGGGTGTGGAACTTCCCTTAAAGACAGTGATGACAGACATAAAAATCTTGTTTATCTTGTTTAATTTTGAATCTTTGTGTTTTAGTTGGCAGCCTCTTAAGTATGTGCATTTTCCAAGCTCTTTGTCATGAAAATTTACCTCAAAAAGTAGAGACGTCATTATGTAATTACAGGAAAAGTCTCATATCATGATTCATATCCATCTCTTTCACTGTGGTGCTGAGTGCCAGTTCAGGATTCTATTGCTGCCTGCAATGCAGTGAGCAGCAGAATCCTGAACCACAACAAGCTGTACACCTGAAGATGGCCAGTTAGGCCGAAACATGTAGTGAAATAGTGTCCAATAAAGGAACAATGAACGACTTTGCACTTAGACATGCAGAAACCCCTAAGTCAGCTCAATATATTGATTTTCAATGCTACATAATGTAGTAACTGGCAACATTGTAAAATAATCCGCAGAAAATTCTATTGGTTTATTTTATTTTGCTCGACCATAATTTATAGAGCATGGAAACAATCTGGAGCACTCTAATGGTTTGTTTTCATTTACTGGTGCTGATAAATATACATTCTGTATTGCATAGCTTAGTTGTCTGCCATTATTATTATTATAGATTATAGAAGACTGCATTGCTAGCTCTACATGTAGTTGTCTGGTTTATATTTTATTTATTTATTTATCATTCTTTATGATTTACTCCACTAGCTTTTATTCCTTTCCCTTTTTGGCTGATATTTACAGGTTCTCACATTACAGATGAGGAAATCAAACTCTCCGAGGACAAGTTCGCAGAATCTCTGCACCTTGCTCAGATGGGGATGTTCAACTTGCTGGAGAATGATGTGAGTTGGAAGGCAACCCTTCCCTGTTCCTTCACCCCCATTAACTTGTCTCATTATGATGCAATGTTCTGGGGATAAGGAAGACCTGAATATTCTTTCCCATATAAGAAGTTTGGTTTTTAGAGTCCCACTAAAATGCTCATAAGAATAATGTTAAAATTTCTCATGTATAAAGTTCCTGTATATAGAATTTGCCTGCTTTAGAAGTTCATTTTGTAACACATTTTATAGAAAATTTCCCATTTAATACATTTAAAATAATACTGATGTATTGGATACAATACAAAAATTTCATTATAATATGTATTCATTTCTTGATAGTCAGACCATACTTCAGTTAATAATGGGTTGTGGACAGCTTCAGAACTTGTACCCGAGCCATCAACTGTTCATTTCCAGTTCATGGTTTTTGTAACTCATCTTTTATTAAGTATAGTGTATCATTGAACATCTGTTTCTTCATATTCAGTTTTCAGCATTGCTACATTATCAGGCAAACTTGGCTTCATGTGTGTACACATGCTTTTATAAGTTTGTTAATAACAAAAAACTGTTGAAATTACTTGCAGTGTAATTTAAAAAAAAACATGGCAGCAGTTCCAGTTAAACAGAAAGCAATGACTTTGCAGGAGAAACTTAATATTAGACAGAAAGTAGAAGCAGATTGAATAACGTGTCTTCAGATATTTATTTTTTATACAGCCTTTAGGTGGTCCATTATGACTTGTGTTCCAGTAATTTTTCTTTAGTACTGAAGTAAAGAATAGTTCTGGTGTTGCCATTGTATTTCCAGGTTTCCCTGATGATATACATTTTAAATATTATGAAACAGTTGCTTGGAATTAAAATACAAAAGTGTGTCCAAAAAGTGAGCCTAATTTTGTATGTTCCTTAAGAATTTTTCCGCTTGAAGAAGTTATTTTCTGCATGTCCTCTGAGAAACTTATTATCCAGAAAACACTGTAGTTTTAGAGAAGATGTGAGCTTCCAGCTGTATGTTTATTCACGAAGTGATGATACCATATCCCAGCTGCTCATTTATCTCCATATACTTGCCATGTTTGATCTTGGTGGAGTGTTAAATTATTGATAATCTCTGAGCCTGTCATCTGGTGTCTCTAATATGTTCAAAGATTTTGGTGGCAGTGTGATGGATTGTTAATCAATGTACACTTTACCTTAGGACTAGGGAACCTTTAAAGCCAGATTTTCATGTCAGGAGTTGATCTGAGAATTGTTACCATTTTGTTCCAATCTGTGATAAGATATTGGAACAGGTTGTGACTAAACCTTGAAATTTGAAGTAACATATCAGACCTAGGCTTCAAAAGGCTAAGAATAAGAGTCAGAATGTGACAGATAGTACAGAGGGGCCCCAAAGTTAATTTTAAATTCAAGGACCAAATTTTTTATTATACTAGAAAGCTCTACCTTGTTTTCCCTTCTCTACAGATTAAATATGGACAGTAACAAGGTTGCTATATCTGTTTTACAAAATTTGGTATTAAAAAGCAGTATTAATATTTTATGTGTTATTAGCAATCCAGTTTTCTGTAACTAAGCCATAAGATGCAATCATAATTGAACACATTTCTGGTGTTGGTAGCAGTGTACCCATTCTAACCTTACTTCTTTTTTGTGCCTTCATCTGTCAGTTGTTTCACAGAAATCTTGAGTGCTAATTGGCTGTTTGCTGTAATAGTAAAATTAAAAGCGATATGCTTACATGTTGAAAGTGTTTACTGTATTCAAAACTATATTCAGTTTAGCGCCACAGTGTTCCTGTGTTTGCTGACTAGGTGGAGTTGATTTCTCAGTTGGCAACATTTGCCGAAGGGCTTCTGGATTACCACCAGCAGTGCACAGAAGTCCTCAGAGGCCTGACTGAAACACTATTGGAAAAGTGAGTTGGTCCTTTTATTTTTGTGTGAGACTACAAATATTCTGTGATTAATAGACAGAACAGTTGCACTGTGAAAATGTTTATTATTTTTTGTGTTAGAGCATTTGAAAATGAATATCCCTGTTTTGGTACATGTAATGAAACATGCTAGGCAACTCCCCATTGCATTTAGCCATTGGGTCAGGGTCTCATCTGTCAACTTCTGCCATACTCTTTTCTCATTGTATTATAATCAGTAGATTGGAATGTTTAATGTTCCATGACTTCATTGTACACTATAACAGAACTTTTTATGTCAGTTTCTTTTTATTATATCCATTTTCTCTTACCTTAAAAAATAAGACGTGTTTTTGCACATATACATTTTCAAAGAAAATGGAAAGAATGGGAGGGCAGGGTGTGGTGGGGTATTGTAGGGTGTCATGTAACTAGTCAGAAAAGTAAGCCTTGCAGTTAGTGTGAGAGTTGCTACAAAGTGGTGAACATGGTAGCGAAACTTGAGAATCGCACGAAGGAGGACAAATGATCTGTGATACGTTTTTTGGTGGGCAAAAGGTGTACCAGGTAAACAGATTAATCATTGCATGCGTGCTCAGTATGGGGACAATCTGTCTCTTGTAGAGTTGTGTATGAATGGATTGAAATGTTTAAAATTGGCCATCTGAGAGTGACTGATGCATAGCGCTTGGGTTGTCCAGCCACAGCCACACAGAATAAAGAAAGAGCTAGAGCTTATTCATCAAAACAGAGGAATGGTTGTTCATGAAACCGCAAAACAGCTGAATATCAGCATTGGATCTGCCTATTCTGTAGTGCATGATAACTTTCAGTTCCACAAGGTCTGTGCCAGGTGGGTACCTAAGGAACTGACAGATGAGCTTAAGAGCATGTGCTTAGACAATTGTTCCTGCAACTTGGCTCATTATTGCAAAGAAGGTGACAACTCTGCATCAGATCGTCATAGGAGATGAAATCTGAGTTCACCTCTATCAACCAGAAACCCACAGAAAAGCATGCAGTGGAGGCATCCATGTTCTCCTGCTGCAGAAAAAGTCAAGATGCAAGCATCAGGTGGCAAGTTGATGTTGACCTTCTTCTGGGGTTCTCAAGGGCCTGTGCTTGAGACCTACCTGGAACATGGAACAACTGTCATGAGTGCAACCAATTTTGACATGCTTGAGAGAGGGCAGAAGCCTGCAATCCGCTCTAAAAGAAGTGGGAGACAGTCAGAGGGCATCCTTTTGTTGCACAACAATGGTCATCCACATACTATGGCCTGCACATTGGGAATCCTTGGGAAATTGAATTGGGAAGTCATGGAACATCCAGCTCACAGTCCAGATTTTGTGCCATCTGATTTTCACTTTTTGCGCCGCTTAAAGAAGCTCTAGGGGCGAGAAGAGTTCGATGTGATGAGGCTGTAAAGAACGCAGCGCATCAGTGGCTATGTGCGCAACCAAAGACTTTCTGTTGTGATGCCATTAAGATGTTGGTAGAACACTGGGAAAAATATGTTGAAAAGCAGGGTGATTGTGTAGAAAAGTGATGTAGTTTGTTTTCTAATCATCGGTAAAGCTGTAAAATGAAAAGTGCAGAAACTTTCTGAAGATCCCTCATGTATTTATTTCTTGGTGAATGCATGGATTAATATTCCAGAAGACGTCATTAGAGAAAGTTGTGCTTAAGAACGTGTGAGAAAAATAGGCATCAGGGACCTTCAAAAGGAATTTACCAAATATTTTGATGTTGTATTTTAGCATCCTGTTGCACTGATTTTTGTCCATGATATGTATGCCGTGTCCGTCTTGTAGTGCACTGAGTTTCACCTGTTATTTCACAACATGTTTCGACAACATAGTGCCATCATCAGGTGCTCCATTTACATTAATCTATCGCATTGCTTGCCAGTATGTCATTGTAAAATTATTTAAAAAATATTTAAAAATATTTGTCAATTATAATAAATTTTTATACACTAAAATCTTGTTAAGATATTCATCTTATATGTCCCAATTCAAACCCGTGCATGGTTCCTCCACTATGGGAGTCGTTCCTCTTATACTCTGTATTTATCTGCAACGTGAAAAAGGTACTTATTATTTTTACTTTCGGCTTCTATCTGTTATGTGTTGTATTATAATGTTTAGTACTCACCGTGTCTCGTGACGTGTTCCCTTTTTGGCTGCGGGTCTTGTAATGTTGGATGTGTGTGTGTCTTCGTATTGATTGAGCTCTGATGTTGTGGGGGTAAGTGGTGGGGTTGTGTTATGTTGTTCTGTGTAAATTGTGTGTAGTTTCCTGCCCAAGTAGTTTCCAATGCCTCCAGTAGATGGGGAAGCATTAGGTACCACTGCCAGAGGAGGGACGACCTCACTGACAGAAAGGGACTAATTATCAGATACCACTGCCAATAGAAGGTCGAAACCTCGCTGGCAGAAAGGGGCTGATAGCGAGCACCAGTTCCAGTAGGGTATGGAGACAGTAGAAATTTAAAGGGGGATATACAATAGACTATTAGTTGCGGTGCATGGGGAAACCCACCCCCTCAATACTACAAGACGGACACGGCATACAAATATGGACGAAAATATCTTGATGCTTGATGCAGTTAACATAAAAATATGTTACAAATAATAATGTACAATAATATACAAAGAATACCCGGGATCTAAGAATTGATGGGTATTACCAGAGGGTATGCAGTTACTGGAGAAACACAAGAAGACAGAAATGTGCTTGGAGCTGTATCCAGTTCATGGCTACTCAGGCAGACTGTTTGGCATAAGCACGTTTCTAGTATAAAAGAACATTTTTCATATATAAGAAAACAATAGTTGCAAAGAGTAACATGGCATATATTCAAAGCCATGGTGCTGAAATTCATGTTCAGCAAGGATTTACTGTGTTACTAACCTGTCTTTTACTGTTCTTAATTAATGGAATGTAATATGCAATTCATTTGTTTTGCAGGAAAGATGAGGCAGCAAGCAGACCCAAGGCTGAGTTTATTCCCAAGACACTGGCAGACCTACATGTTGAAGGCATCTCAGATGGTTTGAACGGTGCGCCACCCCTCCCACCCCCCAGTACTGGTCAGTACGGCAGAGCAGCATGGCACGCTTCCTCATATAGTTCTGTGCATGCGTATATGACAACAGGTGATACTTACCCTATTCATACTGCAATGTCATGGTATGATGGATTGGGATCATTTGTCATCTACCCATAAGTTTTCATTGTATTGTGTTCTGTAGATGTTATGTCACTCCTCAGGGTTATGGGCTTGCTCAGTGTTTACTTTCTTCCTGAGAATGTTCGTCACCTGCCCTTCACTCTTGTCTTCATTCTTGGATTGTAATTCTTTCACACTTTTCCCCATGAATATAAAATTTGCACACCAATCTTAAATGAATGACTTCTGTCAATATGCAGTAATTGAAAAACAGCGCTCTGCCATACTGACATTTTCCTTAATTAAGTACAAGGCCTGATCAAAAGACCTCATGACTGAATTAATATCTAGATAAATCAGACTCGCAGGGAGGGGGCTGTTGCGAATATGTCCTGACATGTTACTGAATGCCCGGGCATTTTCACAGCTTGTCATGTTGCTTTTGTTATTCATGGGTAGCAAATAAAATCTGGGTTAAGTCCAAAATGTTTAAGTATGGTGTGTTACAACAAACATGACAAAAGCCTGGGACATTTCTTTTGGCCAGTTAAGGTCATTCTGTCACCTCTCATGCTACCCCTTGCTACCATGCAGCAGAAAGAGGCTTGGAGGAGCAAAGAAGTGGAGTGAATGAGTGAAAGGATGATGACTTTGGGTAGCCAGATGAAGTGTCTCTGACTATTGACCATTGTCTTTAGGTTTTTCAAATAATATTTTGGAATCTGTTTTTGTCATCAGATGTAAGGAGTAAAGGTTCGTTTTCCATTGGATCTGTCAGTTTTGTTTCCTTATGGTTTCTCTGTTTGTTCTTATTGCCCACTGATAGTATTTGTCATTAACAGAATGTGTTCTGTGGTGGGAACTTCTTTTGGAGTCCAGTCAAGACAGCTCCTTCTAATGTGCTCAGTTGAGTTAAACCTTTCCTTCCTTATGTCTGATAATGGAAGCATATCCCATTTCTGAAATGTGTTTGAAGAAACTCAAAGCCTTGTTCATATTCAGAGTCTTTTTGTCACATATTAAATTAAAGATGTCAAAGAGTATGGAATAGTGTGTGTGCAATAAACCTTACATGAAGATCAGAAAGATGACAGCCAAAGTATATTAGTTTGATGCAGATAGTATTTGAAGATGTGATAATGATCTGAGCACAAGTTTTTTAGTAGTTCCATCATTTTAATGAGGGGAAAATGCCCGTTGAAAATCATGAGGATTGTGGAAGAGCTTCGGCCATTATAATTGATGAATCACTAGCTGAAGTGCATGATTTAGTTAGAAATGACTGTTCCTAAAATGGCTGAAGAAATATAAACTCATGACTCATGCCTGGTCAGTTTAATTGAAAACCTAGGGATGAGATGTGTTTCATCTAGGCTTGACACGTGACACAGGAAAGGAAAAGTTATTTCTATCTTTGATGCCTGACGTGCTTGAATGTGCAGAAACTTCTTACTAAATGAAAATGAAATATGACTAATAGTCATAACAATGAAAATAAATTCAGTCATCACAATTAAAATCCAGTCACATTCCATAATCAAAAAATGTTCACCATGTGCAAAGCAAAACTAAACCAGTGGTGCTTACTTTCTGTTATTATGAGGGTGTTGTGCACCAGAAATATGCCCTGCAACTGCAGACTGTTAACCAACATTTGTATTTATAAGTGTTGAAATGATTCCATGATGGATCATGTTGTGACAGGGCAGCTGGTGCAGTAATTGTTAAATACAAGTGAGACAACCTCTCTGCCCATTAGGTATGACACCTGGTGACTTTTTCCTGTTCAATAAACTGTTCAATAATAGTTGAACACAGTGCAACAGAAGAGCTATTGGCATTTCCTAAAACTGAATTTGATAGGTGCTTCAAGCACTGGCAGGAATATTGTAACAAATGTGTACATTCTGAATCAGTCTACTTTGAAGGGGACTAGGCTCCCATTATTATAAACATAGTGTCATAGTTACCGTAGTTTCAGTCTCAAGGCTTTGATCAGGCCTCAGATATGTATATATACTTTACAATCATCAATATTTGGTGTATTGCCTTTACGTGTGAGATTGCAGAATATGCTCCAGATGGTTGGTTTGTGGATTTAGTGTTAGTGTAGATCTCTCCGAATTATAACAATAATTCAGTTGTGAAAATATTAAGTGCCCATAGTTCAGATTGAAGGAACTGAATAATGCTAATAGAATAATTTTAGTAACACAGCTCTGTCCAGTGTGTATATTGTGAACATAATATTGTAGTTATGTAGTTTTCATACATTACAATACTAGTGTTCAGTTCTTGAAGCTTCCATTCATGTTAATAATGGTCATGACTTTACATTCAAAGCTGTTGTACCACTACATTGTCAAGGGGATTCAAACTTTCAGTCAGTCACCATTAAAATAATCGGTTGAGTAATATGTTATCGTTACATGCACTGTAAACGTAATGAATACAAGAGATTCTAGGGAATAACTAATCACCTACTTTCCTTTCACTAGATATTGTGTGTTTGATATGGCATGGACTGCATAGAAAACACTGCATCCAACAGTTCTTCTACTGTTGCATCTGTATTCATTCCCATGGGGACTTATATATGGAGCCTTTGCCTAGCACTGACTGCCTCTTCTTGCTCCACTATTCCAACTTGTTGGGAGGAGCACACAGACACACAGGCAGCAAAGTGATCATAAGCCTACTTTTATTTTTGCAAAATAAGGAAAGTAGGCTAAAAAATTAAAGTGAAGCCTCACTAGAGACCATAATCAGATGTGGCAGAATGAGTGTAAGAAAAAGTATAGAGTATAGTCAAAATTATCCCTGCTAATGAAGGCAGTAGGTTGCAAGTAATAAAAACATAGATAGTCTGATGTGTTGTTGAATGTAGAAACTCAGAAATGTACACCTGGTGTCTGGGTTTTTAATGATCTCAAAAAAGTGTAAAATGGATTAAGTATAATGGATATGAAATATGTATTTAATTTTCCTCTACAACTTTTGTTCAAAATGTTTTTGACCCTGATAAATTTTTGTCACTTTATGCTCAAGATACATGTGGAAACACATTTGGGTTATCACGCAAAGTGTTCATTAAAATTTCCTACCCTAATGAAAATGGAAATAATGTGACAATTTTTATACAATTCTATAATATTTTTCATGGAAATCTCTCCATCTGTTCTTGAAGGTGTAGGCGACATACTCCTCTGCAACATTGGTATCCAATATCACAATCCAAAGGACTACAATCTTATATTCAAGCAGCTTTTAGTAATATCTTTAAAGCAGTGATCTTAGCAGAACTTTTTGGTCATAAGCCTTAATATTTGTTCTCCGTTAGCATTTACATTAGTATTAGCATTAGCAAGACTTGCATATAAAATAAGTAAATATAAGTTTGCATGAATGTTTGGAAAGCGCTGGAGTATTGCAGTCTCACACTGCAACAGTAATGAGGCAAACAATACACAACATTTTAATCTTTATATCAGTATTATGCTTGGCATTCTCCATTCTCTGAGATATACTTGAAGAATATAACATTTTAGAAACTAGATCTGATTCAGTCAAGTGTAAAGTGGAAAGGATGTATCCAGTTGGGTCCCTTAAGAAAGAGCAAGTTTTGTGAGATTTGATATTCTCACAGCTGTGACCATGAAGAGTACAGTCAAATGAGGTGTAATGCCGTGTAGTCTGGTAGAAGTTTACCAGCATCTCGAAGGCATGTACTGTCTCCATCTTCAGGATCAATGAGTATGCTTGCCGCTTGCTTACTTGGCTTCAACCCAGAAAATGAAGATAGTATGTGTGTCTGTAATAGGAGTAAACTTCTCCAAGACTATACAGCATTACATCCCAGAAAATAGTGCCCTTCAGAGCTAGTCTCAATCATATAATTGTTCACAGTTCTTTGTAAGGGGCTCAATTGAGTAGGATCCTTTCATCTTTATAACTGATGGTCAAAATGGATCCAGCTTTTAGAATGCTTTCATATCACATATACTTTATAGACTGTGGACAGTGTCAAACGTAATATGCTGACAGTGAAGCAACCTTTGCCACGTATCTTTTTAATCTCTCTTTCTTTCTGTCTTCATGACTTCTGCCTGGGTAAATGTGTCCTGACTAACATCTCTGTTGCTGTGGTGTAGGCACTTCTCAGGGTTCTTCTCCTGTGCACCCAAAACCGAATCAACTGGAGCTGTTTCCCTCCACTGGCAGTGCGCCACGCTCTTCTAATGGTAACTTTCATTAATTCCCACCTCTACAAATTAATATATTCATATAAGTATTTAATAGAATCTTTAAAAATATGAAGTGCATAATTAAACACCTGACAGGGTTTGTCAAAGCAAATTAAGAATAAGGTATGACAGAAAGCTACAGGTCGCACACACTGACACACACGTGTGCCCACACACACAAGTGTGCATTCTTGCACACACAACTTTAAATATAATTTCAAATTTAAATATGTGTTTGCTGTAGCATGCTGAATCAAGTAACAGTGCTTTATCAAGTTATAAGTCTCTGCTTTTAGTCCATGTTGGTAATAATTTATGTGATATATTTCCTATTCAGAGTGGTTTGAAGCAAGGAGATGCTTTGTCACCATTGCTTTTCAACTTAGAATATACCACTGGCAGGGTTCAAGAAAATCAGAAAATCCTTTACATACTTTAGTCAGACCCTTGTAAAATTTGACAGATGTTAAATTTTTATTTTGTTATATACTGAGTGTAAGAAACTGACTCACTCATGGAACTGAGCCCTTCTGGAGGAGCCACCAATTCTGCAGCTACTCAAGAATTTCCTAGCATTGTATGGAACCCAAAGGTTCATTACCGTGTTCACAAGAGCCATCCACTGGTCCCTATCCTGAGCCAGATCTATCCAATCCATACCATCCCATCCTATCTCTCTCTAAGATCCATTCTAATATTGTCCACCCTCCTATGCCTTGGTCTTCCCAGTGGTCTCTTTCCTTCTGGATTTCCCACCAATATCCTATACACATTCTTCGTCTCCCAAATTCATGCTACATGCACTGCCCACCTCATCTTCCTTGACTTGATCATTCTAATTATACTTGAAGAAGAGTACAAGTTATGAAGCTCCTCATTATGCAGATTTTTCCAATCCCTTGTCACTTCATCTCTCTTTGGTCCAAATATTCTCCTCAACACCCAGTTCTCGAGCACCCTTAGTCTATGTTCCTCCCATAATGTCAGAGACCAAGTTTCACATCCATATAGAACCACAGGCAAAATTATAGACTGAGTGTAAGAAAACATGTTAAAATTTACTTTTATCCAGCCATAAATATCTGTCAGAATTACTGGGTTTTAGACTTTTTCCATCGTCCAGTATTCTAGAAACTAGAGAACATGATGTTTCGGATACTGAACTGTTTCTGTCCTCAGGTGAGGGAGGAGGGAAGACACCTACTCAGTTGAGTCCCTTAGAAAAGGTAACCAGTGACTGAAGACAGAAACAGATCAGTTTCCAAAACATCATATTCTCTAGTTTCTAGAATACTGGACGATGGAAAAAGTCCAAAAACCCACTAATTCTGAGTGTTATACACCATCGTCAGAACCTTTTAGGATCTCTTAATATCCATAGTTGCTCATGTTCTTTTAAACCCACTCACACATTCACACAAGAAAATAAGGACCAATTTTAGCTGAAACATGCTAGCTTCTGGCATCTGATAATAATGGTAGTTTATTGGACAAATACATAAACATACTGAAGAAAACACATAAACTGTGCTAGAAGCTTTTAACCCATTGACTTGGTTCAATTCTGAAATGCATGCTCATATTACATAGCTGTCTCTTTGATAGATAATGCAGAAATCTGATTTATAAGTTGCAGCTTCTAAGTTATTGTTCTGATAGTGATGAGATGACATGCAGTGCATTCTTTCAGCTTCAAGGTTTCATTTGAGCCATAACATGAAAACTTTTGTCTTGGTCACCAGCCTGCACATGATGACATTTTCTTTCAAAAAGATGGGCATGAATTACAGTAATTCACAGGAACAGTTGTAGACTTAGGTATGTAAACAGATGGGTTCATGAGGATGGCTGGAATAGACTCAAAATTAAGTGGATGTTTTGTCAAAAATGCAGCGCAAAATAATAATACAAAGGTAGTTAGTTAGTTAGTTAGTTAGTTAGTTGGAGAGGGTGGGTTTCCGCATGCACTTAGACCTGTATTGGTCCATTGTGCTTCCCTCTATGATTTCTACCAGTCTCTATATCCTACCGGTACTGGTGCTTGCCATCAATCCCGCCCAGCCAGCGAGACCGGCTCTACTTGATGAGAGGTATCTATAATGCTTCCCCCATCTACCAGAGGTATTAGAGACTGCTGTTGGGCGGGAAACGTCCGTAATTTGGCTCAGTGACCTCCTTTGGAGATAAGAGGTTCTTTTACGTGCTGTAAAGCTACGACATGGGACCCACGGCTTAAAGTCCCTCGCGGAGGACTTGTTCCCTGAATTTTTCCGCCCTTAAAAATTCGACGACCTCCGCCGGGTATTTGAACCCGCATACTACGAGTCATGAGGTGGGAATGTTACCTCTAGACTACAGAGGCCGCTTAATACAAAGGTAACTAATGAATATAAGTTCTGAGGCTTACATGGCAGTGATTGGTCAGATTCTGGACTTGTGGGTTATGGCACATATACTATTGTATGTGGATACCAAGGTTTTGCAGGAACATGCCTTCCCCAGAGCATTTTATCTACCTACAAGACTGCATGATATCACACCCCAGAAGACATTTTGACTCTGAAAAAGGAGGCAAGATGTTCCCCTAGAACGTTGTTACAGAACTACAAGACCACATGACGTCACAGACCGAATAATTAATAAATGCTTTGAAATTGTTACATTTTTATAAATATTTCAGAATGACAGCAACAGATCGTTAGGAGGTTAAGAGCAGAGTCTGGTGAATGCTTGAACCTAAAAGTTCATTGTTATGTTCACATGGGCCAGATGAATCCAATCCACTGCACCACACCTCAGTTCTAGTTTAAGTATTAACATCCCATTTATATTTTCATCTCCAAATTGGTCTCGTCACTTCAGATTTTCACGAATCAACTCAATTTAACTGTCACTTGGCCAGGATAGAAATCAGCATGTCTTACATTTCCTCCGTTCTGTTGTGTTGTCACAGGAATGCCTTTGTTACTATTCGTTGCCATGGAAACAAATGTTTACGTAGCTGTTGCCTAGCAAATGATTATATTCATCACAATATATTATTATTTTTATCTTTGCTTCCATGTAGGAGACAGGAAGGCATATAGTCTGAACTGGATGGTAACAAGCATTCTCTTCAAATTTGATCTCGTCTTAATTGTTTTATGAATGTAATTTGTTGTGTGACTATCATTCCCAGATATAGGGGCACAGACATTTTTAATAAAAGCCAGATTACATTATGTCAAGCATGCAATAACAGTTTCAAATTTGTAATTAAAGCTGGTATTGTAGTAAACATCTTTAACCCATATCACATCTAATTTTTAGAAGATACTTCAGACTGGAACTAAGGTAGCTTCCCTTAATCTCCTGGTTATAAGTCAGTGACTTTCTCTGTTTTTGTGTAATATTCCTGAATGGTGATTGTTAATATATGTGTATTCGTGCGTGTGTGTGTTGGTTCTGCTATCACCGTTTGTGTGTTATTTCTTCCTTTCTCCATCTTTTGAAAGGGATGTTATATTTTATTTCACTTTGTAACTGAGTGGACACTTGGAATAGATAACATTCTCTGAATTATTAAGAGATGCATACAATTGAATAAAAGTGTTCATTATTCCAAAGACTATGTCAAAGTAAACAGAAAATATCTTCATGATTGCTATACAGTTGTGAAATAAATAGGCAGTGTGCTTGAAATGGACTTGAACATATAAGAACAGTTTGATATCTATTGTGTAACAAGATTGTGTAGATGTGGACTACAGTGTTGGTAGCAGTCAACTCACAGTACATGCAGAGAGTAAGTTCAGTGATTCCATTTTTATTTGTATATTAATTTTATTTAATGAGGTTAGATTGTGGATCTGTATGATACTTTTAGACATTTCTGAGGATTCCTGATCATACATCTCTTGATTTGGGTACATATTGTCACGTGCACGGGTGACTAAAGATGGGGTTCGGACTGGTAATTGGGTTTATTAACAACTTACAGGCCTAACTGCAATTAATTATTACACTATTGATGCTTTACACAGTGTGCAACCACTCCACACTAATCTCTTCAGTCTATCTGCACTAGCCTACACAGATTTATAACACAGGAACTATAACAGTCTCACTGAATTACACACTCCAAATATTACACATAAATAAAGGGGAGGGTTTTTCCCAGCTAAATTGAATAAATTATTTTGATTGACAAAGTGACACTCTCACCTGTTAGTAATACTCACAAAATAGTGATGCAAAGTAATTATAATACTAGTCGAAAAGAGTGCCAGTCCAATACTGACACCGAAAGTCACAGTGATGAAGATGCCTTTTACTTACAAAGTAATACTGGCTCAGTGGGTTTGTACCTTCTCCGAGACACTAAATAAAAATGATATATATATATATATATATATATGACAGTNAAAGCTCTAGAAGCACTAACATGCAAGCACAGCTGAATATTTTCTTCTCAGTTCTCAAAACAAAGCTGGGCTCTATTTGGCTGACCAGGTTATAAACAGTCATATTTAAACGTAAATAGTATCGAAATCAGTATAAACGATTTCATTGTTGAGAGCTAACAAATGAACCTCTGACATGAACTTGGGTGTGTTTGTTTTGGTTTCAAACCCAAGATCAAACTATCAGCACTCCCAAAATGAGCACTGTCCTGCCTTATATAAAAATAATATTCTGCCACAGTGGGGTGTTACTTGTTTATATATGTATATATATATATATATATATATATATATAAAACAGTCGTTAAAGGTTAATATTCAGGTTATTTTATTTTCATCCCACTACTTGTTTCAGTCTGCAAATATTGTTGTCAGGTGGTTTATGTTTTTTTGTGGGCTGTGTCTTATATAGTACTATAATTATAGGTTATATAGGTTGTTACTGCACTGAAATCACAGCTGTCATTGTTCCTGCTGAAAATCAAGCTTTCCTATCTAATCAGAATACGACCTTGGCATGTAACCTGTTGACAACTAGAAGAGTTAATGAAACTCATCATACAGCCTTCTATCCAGAAGTCTCCTGCAGTACCTTTGTAAACAGAATTCTCTCAACCATCACAGCATCAGGAAACTTGTTATGAACTTAGGCACAGTATAAAACAATTACGTTATTACTCATAGAACATACATCCTTGAAACAGAAGAAAATGTTCCCTTTGTAGGACTTTAGCTTTGTCTAGCTGATCCCACAGAGTACATACCCATTGCTACCACTTGTAGATGGAGACATAGCTGACCTCCACTGTCTGTTTCTCTGTTCCCTCCTTTCTTCCCTGTGCTCACTGAGTCAGGGGCAACAAATCCATTTCTGAGTTGGGAGTACCTGCAGGGCAGATTCTGTTGCTCTCAGTGGCAGTGACTGACAAAGGGGACTTGCAGCTTAGTGTGGGCTCCAGACCATGGTCTGGCTTGGTATAATTTATATTTCCAACATTTTATCTTTGGTAAAGGAGAAGGTTTTCATCTGATACCAGAAAATTGGTACAGAAATCTGACCAGGTATCAGGTTTGGAACCTTCTTAATGTGAGTCCAGCATCATACCTGAGACCACCATGTCCCCCCTTACTAAATATTTTGATGTCTTTTTTATCCAAATATTGGTATAGTTACTGGCTATGACCTTGAAATTTGGATTTGATTCCTATGAGGGACAGGAATTTTCTTTTTGCCACTTTGTCCAGATTGTACGTAGTACAACTTTCTTAACATTTCACCACTGCTTGATAAAATTGTACAGAAAAATTGTTATTGGACTGACTTCAATTTTAATTAATTTTATCTGTGAAATGTTGTTGGTACCATTGTGGTTGCAGGCAGGGCACCATAGATATTGGAACTCTGTGTGCAATCATTTCATGTAAATTTTATTACATGTGTCAAGAGTTTCTTAGTTCATCTCCTGTGTTTCTCATAGCGTCTCCTTTGCCATCGCCGATGAGATCTCCAGCCAGGACACCAATGACAAAGAGTCCATGTTGCACAGCCCTCTATGACTTTGAGCCTGAAAACCCTGGTGAACTTGGTTTTAAGGTAAACATTCTTGTATTCATTGAAGAGTTTTTATTTACTTTCAGATTTTATATATACAAGGTGTGTCAATGAATCGGATAATTTTAAAAACGTTATGAACAATAAACTGTTTTATTTATTTGGTTTTAACACATACGATGGGGTACCCAAAAGAAACCGAACTAATTTTTTTGTGGGCAGAGCTTTTGTAGTACCGCGTTTTGCGGCTATGAGCGCATAGAGCTAACATTCCTGAGTTGATAAGTCGACTACCATTGCTTCAGAAGGTAAGGACTAGTCTCAGCAGAGTTTATAGTGACAACTGTTTTGTGTGATCATCGTTTTTGCAATGGCTGATTTTCGTGAACAGCGTGCGGTGGTGAAATTCTGCTTTTTGCTCAGGAAAAGTGGAACAGAAACTCTTGAAATGTTAAAAACGGCGTACAAGGACGACGCTATGGGGAAAACTCAAGTGTTTGAGTGGTTTTCCCGTTTCAAAAATGGTGAAATGTCAATTGATGACAAACCTCGTTCTGGTCGTCCTTCCACGGCCCGAACACATGAAAATGTTGAAAAAAATCGTGAAATCGTCAAGGAAGATCGACGATGGACCATCGAAGAAATTGTGGAGCTGTCGGGAGTGACTTGGAGCTCAGCAGCCAGATTTGTGGCAGTCGGGTGACCGGTTTTTCCATCATGACAATGCCCCTGCCCACACAGCCCTGTCTGTATGACAATTCTTGACCAAAAAATGGTATGACCCCTGTTCCTCACCCTCCATACTCACCCGACCTTGCCCCATGCGACTTTTTTTTGTTTCCTTGAATGAAAAGAGACGTGAAAGGAAAAAACGACGGAGGCGCTGTCAAGCATCTCAAAAGATGAATTTAGACAAGGTTTTGAAAAATGGAATAAAAGACTAGACAAGTGTATTAGTGTAAGTGGAGAGTACTTTGAAGGGGATTGAAGGTTTGTGCTTAAAATTGAATAAATAAGTTTAAAAAAAATAAGTTCGGTTTCTTTTGGGTACTCCCTCGTATGAATACAGTGTAAACATGAAAGCATTTGGTTTTGCTCAACTCACTGAAAACAAAAGTCTGTTTGCCAAAAATAACATCTGACAGATGACCACCATTCTGCTGTAGGCACTCGGTAAGTCTCTTCCTAAAGTCACTCTTTACTCTTTGCAGCATTTCTATGAGAATTCATTCATCTTTTTGTTAACAAACCCCAATAAATGGAAATGAGCTTCATCGCTCATCAGTAAGTTGTTAACGACATCTTAGTTTTGATTAAATTAATTGCAAAACTGTCTGGCAGAAATTGACTCTGTTTTCATATTCATGTTTATGTAGTGCATGAGTAATTTGAATTTTAAAGGGGTAGAAGTGGAGATCTTTGGAAAAATCCGTCAAACGCTGGCTTCAGACAGCCCGAGTGATGTAGTGTGGTGACGCACAGACTGGCGTGGGCTCCATTCAATGGCTTCTCTCACTGCCACTACATTCCCGGGTGTATGTGCTGTTTTTACCCTACCACCTTTCTTCTTTAGTGTAGAACCAGTAGCCTCAAAGTTTTGGGTCATGATGGCATGGACAGATGGAACAGGATGATTGCGATGAATACCAAACTCTCTTCGAAATTCATGCTGAGGGTCACGAAACTGTCACCATTTTTGTAAAATGCTTTCACAGCAAGAGAACATTGTGCTCCAGTTCGCAGCTTCATTGCAACTAAAACGCTTTGAAGTAGGCTGCTGGGTGGCAGTAGTGGCACCCTCCCCACTCCAACCAATCCAGGAAAAAACACCACTGCCAAATCACCCGATTCATTGATGCACCCTATACAAGTGAGAAAGTTGCCAGTACAGAGATGTGCGGGTGCAAAAAATAACAACGTTTTATTAAAATGAAAAAGAAACTAGAACATATACTAATTATATTAGATAAATTGATGTTATCTTTCCCATTAATTAATCAAAATATATAAAAATAATCATACTGCTACTACTGAGTGTTATGCTTTTTTTTATAGTTTTTGATTAAATAGAAACCAGTGAACTTATATTAGTGTAAGAAGTTTATCCTTGTGATACTTCTCATTGCAATGACTATGAAGATCACTCTCTTCTGCGATGTGACACCTTGTAGTTAGGTAGATTGCTACCAGGATAATTTGAGGATAGGGGCAGCAGTTCTTCTGAAACATTTGTACCTGTATATTCGGAATTTTGTAATTAATTTTTAAATATGATATTGATATACAATGGCATTACTCTTCCTGCACAGAAGTGTACGAGGTGCTGTCTGAAAGTTCCCAGACTAGATCAAAAAAGAAATACTCGCTTAATTTACTCAATTTTGGCTGTCATTTCCTTGAAAATAGTTCCCTTGGGCAGTCGAGTGCTGCTTGTGATTCCCTTTGAATGTCAGACACTGTGTCAAAATGTCAACCCTTCAGTTTCATTTTCAATTTGGGAAGCAGCGAAATTACAGGGTGCTAAGTCCGGCGAGTAGGGAGGTTGGGGATCCATAACCATATTGTTGTTAGTCATAAACTCTGTGGTTTTCAGGGACGTATGGGCGGGCAAGTTGTTGAAGGAGCCAGTTGTTATTGCACCAAAGTTCCCATCTTTTTCATTACACATTTTCTGTCAAGAGTTTCAAAACATCACAGTAGAAGTCAGAGTTGACCATAGTGTTGGGAGGAACAAGTTCATGGTGAACAATCCCCTTCACGTCAAAAGAAAAGCAGTGAGCATGCTCTTGGTTTGACTCTGGGCCTGCCGCACTTTTTTTGCTCTTGGTGTTTGTGGGCTCTTCCACTGTGATGATTGTTGCACTGTTTTGGGATCATAACCATAAATCCAACTTTTGTCACCCATTAAGATCCTAGAATTAAAAGTTGGGTCCTCGTTAGCCTTCTCTCATAGCTCAAGTCACATGTTTATGCTCCACTACTTTTGATCATTTGTTAAGAGCTTTTTTTGGGGTGGGGGGCAAATTTTGTAGCGATGCGGAGCATGTACACATTTGCTGTTAAGATCTCCTGGCTACCTCCATAACTGATCCCAATAGTGTCTGTGGACTCATGGATTGTTCAGCGATGATCTTTATGGATGAGTTCTCGAATGTTTTCAACATTTTCTATCATCTTACTGGTGCTTGGTCACCTTGCATGTTCATCATCTTCAAATGACTCTTGGCTGGCCTTGAAATGTGAATACTATTCAAAAACTGCTGTCATGTTTAAAGAATGTTCTCCAAAAGCCTCACGAAGCATTTCAGGGGTTTTGGTAGCAGATTTACTGAGCTTCACACAAAACTTGATGCAGACCCGTTGCTCGATTTTACATCCATCACAGGCAGAATGAAACACGAAGTCAAAAAAGCATCTGTGTAAAAACAGCACGTGTTCACAGTGTGATGTCACGAGGCAGACTGATGCAATAGGCTTGCGGAAGTGTGACCTTGGCCTCCCCTCTCATCTTTCACTGAGGCAGTTACAACAATAGCAGTCAGGAAACTTTACTATAGCACCTCATACTTGATCCTGGGGGCCAGGAAGTAAAAATGTGATGCCATATTCCATGTCTAGTATAAAAAATTCAATGATTTTTCTTAAATAACTGTACATGGTTTCATATCTGACCAGATATGGTTTGGTTATGGGGTCCATTATATATGGCACTTGTTTACAGAGATCTTAGAAAGAACCCATTATCTGCATGTAATCTGTGACTTGTAGCTACATCATGATTTTAACTGTGAAGTGTCAGAAAATTTGGGCAGTCTCTGCTATTTAGCTAAGAAATTTGATTACTGTAATCAACAGGTGTATTGTTAATACAAAAAGAAAACTTAAGTTTGTAATTTGATTATGATGTGCTGATTCTACTCTGCATCATACAACAGTTTTATATACTGAATTTTTATTCAAAACAGCAGTTACTTTTCACTTTTTTCCTTAGTGTGAGAAACTTATGTTTTGTTAGTGAATAGAAATTTATTCTCATGTAAATAATCTCATTGTTTCATATTGAATAATAAATTATACAGCAAACCCTCACCAATCTGGCAACAGTTAATCTAGATGTTGAATAATCCATATCAAGATAGAAAATTGAAAAGTGCTGTTCACTGTCAAGTACATGCTTTAAAAGACACATGGCATTTAAGAAGGCAGATGAGTCACTTGTCTCTTCAGACAAAGCCTGACAGTTTCTTCAAACTTGCATTATTACATTCAGAAAGAAGTACAAATTCTGGGTCTTATATTGATGAATGAATGTATTGTTTTCTATATTTTTTAAAAAAAGCCTCTATGGCAATATATTTTTAATTATTTTCATGAGCACGACTTATATCATTAATTTTTCCATTAATTTTTGTTCAAAGTTTTTTATCATTTTGGGCTACCTTTTGCTCCTCAAATCCAGAATAATGCTTAATCCAGATGACTTCCCCCCTCAGTTACTCCAGATTAGCGAGAGTTTACTGCATATATGTTTATGTTGGGAGCTGGGATAGCTCAGTATAGCGGCAGGCTACGAACTGGATGGGTGGAGTTTGATCCCTGGCACGGGCAAGATTTTTCTCTTCTCCATAACATCCAGTCCAGTTATGGGGCCTGTCCAGCTTCCTATCCACTGTCTACCATGTGCTTTTCCCCAGAAGGTAAAGCAAGTAGATGATTTTGTGCAATATAATGCAACAGTTGTGTAAAAGCATCTACCTGATGATGACCTTCTAACGTCAAAATATGTTGCAGAAGTATCATTTACAAAAAAGTGATAACCTAGCACAGCAACAGCTTGTGAGTACAATAAGAATTTGCAGTTTCAAGACTGCCCCTGAAAATTAATCTTCCACATTCACTTCAGGAAAATGCCTGAAATTAGGCAACAGCCACTTCCTTCCCCTATCCTTTCTATTATCGTCCTACTGTTTGATGCTGTAGTTTTAGTTGCTGACAACATAATTAACAAATAGATACAACGAAAGTATATAAAGGAATGAATGAATAAAGTGTGGCTCTTAATGGGTGCTCGCACCATGAGGTTACTGTGCGTTCCTCTCTGTTCAGCCCCTCAAAAATCCTGCACTTTGGACCAAGTGTGGTATCATACTTAAAGGGACATCATAGTAATGACCTTGTTCTGTAAAATTACTTACAAGCCTTATGTATGTTTTGCAGGAAGGTGACACCATTACGCTGATAAATAGGGTTGACGAAAACTGGTACGAAGGCAGCGTTCACGGCCGTACTGGGTACTTCCCAGTGACGTATGTGCAAGTTGTGGTACCACTACCTTGATTTGCATCACCATTGTCCACATCAGCACCTTTCAATGGTAACTAGCTCTCGTCCTGTCTCATCTCTATCTGTTCCTTATTAGACTATCCACACTATACTGCAGCCTTCTGTCAGTTATAGTCTCATTTCATTGAATATTATCTTGTCAGCAATGATACTTTTCTTTCCTGTTTCTACTAGTTTATGATAGACGTTAAATTAAAATTATTATGAATGTTTCACAGTTTTCATGATGTAATTATAAGGAAGCAAATGTATCACACCAGAATTCAGTGTAGTGATTTTTAATTTAGTTTTTATATTAGTAGAACTGTTTTAATGACCATCTTCACAACAGTTAATTGATGACTATATCAGTAATTATTTAATGTAAGACTGCAGCATGTTTTGATTGTATTTATCATCAGGCAATATGATATTTACAAATCTTTTGATAATTTAGGATTCAGTAACAAGGATTTTTACTTGCAAATTTTACACCATTTGATGATGATTGTAATGAGTGAAACATGTTGTGGTTTTGAAGTAAATAGCTGTTTAGATATTCAACACTTAATTGCTGTGTAGGTGGATACTGGCATTGTTGTTTGCGTTGATTTTGTGAATATCAGTTCCATTCAGTAACTTTTAAAAACATTCAAGGGAAGTTTCTTCACCGTTACTGATAACTTCACATAATGTATCTTGTCTTCTTTAAGTACTGGTTATGGAACGTCCATGATAACTTTAATTAGTTACGATGTTATTTAGATCACAAACTGGCTTTGGCAGGAAATGAAAGTATGATAATACTAATAAAAAGCCAGTGGAATTGCAGAATACATTTTTGACCAGTTTTGTTGTTGATATAATGTGGATGTTTTCTTCATGCACAGAGGTATTCTTAATGCTGGGAATCAGGAAATAAAAGCCAAATGCAGTGCAGAAGGCTGTGTGTATGCGTTAAGCCCCCTTGATGTACTCGTATCATTTGTACCGTGATTTGTCTTATGCTTTCCTTCAGTGCTAGGAATCAGTTAGTTTGAATGATTCTACAAGTTGTAACAGTAATTTTGTAAATATATTTTAAACGACTGTAGTGATGAAAGTAGAATGATGTACATTTGCTGTGATGTTTGTATAGGAAACAAGTCAGCTGAAAGAAAGAATGTGGGGTTGTGATCTTCATTTCTTGATTTCAGAAACAGTTCATTTTTTTTAATTGAATTAGAAATAGAACTTTTTATCATTAAAAGAGAAGAAATAAAAGAAGATGAAATAGCAGAAATAAATTAACAGTTTTGAATTCTTCCTCTTGCATGATGGTGACATTGTCATTATTGTTAAAGAAATTGCAATAACAGATTCAATAAATGCTTTGGGAAAAGGTAACCAAATGCAGTAATAATGAATTAGCAAATTAATAAATATATATACTATAAGAGAGATAAATACATAGGTCATGTTTATCAGATGAAGTGTTCCTCTTCAGTAGACATAGAAATGTGTATTACTCAGTAAAAAATAAATCTTGCCTCAGCCATTTGGTGATATTTTAAAGGAATACTCGGAGCCAGAAAGTGAATTGTTATGATGGCTTCTGTTGTATGAGAGGTTCAAGAATTGTTGTGCTAGCCATATGTGCATATATAATGCAAGTCTTGTTGAAGAACTGATTGTGAAACTTCTTTCCCCTGAGTCTTGTCAACTCATATTTTCTGAATTACTTTTATGAAAGTACAAGTCTTGCATTGTAAAATTATATTCTCGGTTGAAAGTAAACACAGCTCAAAATGAAAACCATTCTTTGTTACACAAACATTGTTCTGTAAGTCTGGTTATGTAGACTTTCTTATCTGATTTTTAAGTAGACAATTTAAATAAATTGAACTTAAGTCAATAATTATCTTATTCCTCCCCATGCCTTTGTGATATACAAACAGTATGGTCTTTGTCTTTGTAGGCATAGAATTAACATCCAAATGAACCTTGACTCCTTGTCTTTGATTTATTTTTTCCATGAATGTGCTGTATTTTCCCGCTGCTTTAGATTATAATGTAAAATACTTGCTGTGAGTGCTCTCTATTTGCACTGTCTTTATTATGAACAAGTTTTCTTTCTAAATATGCTGTAGTAAACTTACTGTAGCCAGTCACAGTAGCCGAGCGGTCTAAGGCATGCACTGTCTTCGCTCGCTTGGAAGCCGGGATCGTGGGTTCGAATCCCATTCAGGGCATGGATGTTTGTGTGCGTTTTTCTCTGTTTGTCTACAAGTAGAGGCCTTGCGACGAGCTGATCACTCGCCCAAGGAATCCTACCGTATATGTAAGATCTAGAAAACCCTAAGTGAACGGAGAAGTTCATGGAGGTAGGCCTAGGCCAGCTGGGGCTGTAGTGCCAAGGAAAAAAAAAACTTACTGTAGTTTCTGAAGGCACTACTCTGCTTCTTCACTCATAACATATGGAATTATGAATTGTGCCATTCAATTCCTTTTGTGCCATTAATATAATTTTGTTCTGCATTGTTTTATGACATGAGTATTTAACTTTGCACTTTGTTTTATTAAATGTAACACAGTGCAACTTGTATGAAATCACTGTCAGTCATGTGTGTCATCAGGACTTTTTCTAGTTGGTGAGGGTTTAAACCAGTTTCCCAGGGGAGACAGCCAGGAAGTTTATGTAGAAACTTATGTGTAAGCTGTTTATTGCTATTTTTGCTAATTTAAAAAAAAATACTCTCAATTTGTATTATTAATATTTGGTATGTTTCCTTCTTTTCTCAATTTTGATTTTAAAGAAAGGTCAGCAAGGACACATGCCTAATTTTCTCCCTCCCTCTTGGCACCCATGCTGTTTGTATCCATATGAAGGAGGCAGTGATGAATGAAACATGAATTTTAGAGAGGTTGTGAGGGAAGTTTAGTACAGGAATTTATAAAGAGGAAAGCTGTGTTTTGTTTCAACTTGGCAGAGCATTTATCGGAAGCAAGGACCTTTTGTGATTCCTATTTTTATTGTGATCAAGAGTTAAAGGGCCCTTAGCCAAGATTATGAATTTTATCAGCAAGTGAAAATTATTGAAAGAATGTCCCATAATTTTGTTTTTAGTTCAGATGTATGTTTATTTGAGTATTAATAGCAGTAATTATGATCTCTCTTCTTTCCTTCTGGATATAATATTGACATATTACAAAGAAAATGTGATTCATCCCATTAAATGATTTCAGATTCACCCAGTTCCCCTCCCCCCTGTTCAGACAGCTATACTTATGACTCCAAAGGTAACCACAGCTTCTTACATCTCAGAATACACTCCCCTGTGTACTTTCAGCTTTCAGGGTTAAGCCATGTCATGTATTGAAGTTGTTCCAGTGTTTTGGTATACATTTCATTCGCCGTCTTCGGGATGAATGAGATGTTGCCTCAATATGAGTATTTTTTTAATTCACTTAGTGGGTGGTGGAGTCTAACTGTGTCCATTTGGCACAGCGGCCACTGATTGGCCTATTGTAGCCTGCCCCGGGTGATTATGATGATGGAGTATTTGGTGGAATGAAGATTGGCAGGGGAAACTGAAGTACTTGGAGAAAACCCGCCCCAGTGCCACTTTCTCCACCACAAATCCCACTTGACCAGACCTGGGATCGAACCTGGGCCGCCGCGGTGGGAAACCAGTGACTAACCACTTGAGCTATGGCGTGGCCTCTCAGTATGAATAATGGTGGAATGTAATGTTACCTGGTGGTTAAGGATTGAGGCCTGACATTTTTTCCTCATTGGGATACTTACATATGAGGCCATGGCCCCTTCCTCATCACATGCCACACTCCCTATCATTATCTCTGTTGTGAGACCTAAATATTAGGCTGCATTCTCCTTCCACCTCATTTACGATGAAGGTAGCAACTACAGTGGACCATAAATTTTTGGCATGGCAACTGCAATACTTGGTGACTCCTGAAAGCTGAATTTACGCATTCGATACAGACTGCAAAAACCTAGGGATGATAATAATGACATGCTTGGAGAGAGAGAGAAGCTGAGCATTTAGATGTGAGCAGAAGAAACAAATCAACATTTTTATGAAAGAAAATTATTTTAGAAGGTCCATTCTAACTCTCTGTTTTTCAGTTTGCCTCTGTACCTTTGAGCAGTATTTGTCTAAACAGTTCACAGAGTGAGATTTTTTTGGCCGCACCATAGCTCAAGAGGTTAGTTGCTGGCTTCCCACCGCAGCGGCCTGAGTTTGATCCCATGTCTGGTCAAGTGGGATTTGTGGTTTACAAAATCTTCATTCCACCAAATTCTCCATCATCATTATCGCCCGGGGCAGGTACAATAGGGCAATCAGTGGCCGCCGTGCCGAGTGGACCCAGCTGGACTCCACCCCCCACTATGTGAATTAAAAAAAAAGAATTGTGAAATTTTTCTCTCCTGTTATATGAAATATTCCCATTTGTACACTGTAACCATGTCATAAGCTTCTTGATGCTTCAGCTTGACCATGTACAATTTTGTTTTCTCCGTACACCATAGTATTGTAACATTACTGCCCAGAAATGGCTAATAACATCCTTAATTATAATTTTTTGTATGTATGAAATAAGTATTGATTTCCTTTGTTGCAGTCATTCCTATTTGACTAAATTCAATGGGGAAAGAAGAACAAAATCACATATATGTTTGTATCCTCAGTGTCACATTGAAATTGTATTTCAGCGGTTACAAATTGTGTTCATGAAATATTCCATGTTGTTTCCCCTTCCTCTCTCTTGCTACTTGTTGTCTCAATGTTGAAGCTGCTTGCCTTGGACCACTTGCTTACTGATGATTGAACATTGATGATAGGGTAGAGACCTCCTTTCCTTCATTTTCCCTGCCTAGTGTGTTCAGTATCACCACTCTGCTTGCTTGTCATCAGGCACATCTGAGGTGAGGGCTTTTGCTCTCAAATTTAAAATATTTGCATTGTCTTCACTTGTCTTCTTGCAAAGTAGACCCCCCACCCCCAACCCCTACCCAATTAATTTTGTGTCATTGGTCCAGGAAACAATGCTGATGAGTAATTGCTTCACATTGTCCTTATTACTGTCTTCAGATGAAGTAAAGTGTCAGAAGGAAAACAATTGCAAAATGATGAGGCTGAACAGCTCTGGTTCAGAGATAACACTGCATTTTGTTCATATCATGAATTTTCAGGAGCAAGAGATATTTACATCATGTTTTGAGTTCCATCTTTGCACATTTAAGCCCACATATCTGGTAAACCTGCATTCTGACACCATTTTACATTGAGAATTATGGATAAATTTGTATTTATCCCAAATTATAACTTAATATCATCTTTCCTGATTCGTAAAACAGTTGTATAGTAAATTGTCTTTGATCTCATAGAATTATTCTGTACAGTACTATGTGTATTAATCATGTTTTAATATTCTGCTGTGATTGAGTGTCATTTGTTAGCCACAAGATGAAGAACTAAGTGTGAAAATGGCCATGCCATAGCCCAGCCAGTTAGTCATTGTTCTTTCTCCGTGGTGACCCAAGTAAGAGAAGAGTAAGGTGAATAAATGTATGCACTGTAAGACGGTCAGAATAAATCATGGACCCAAGTTCAATTTCAGGTCAGTTCGTGTGGTGTTTGTGGTAGACAAATTGCCACTAGGGAAGCTTTTCATCGAGTACTTCAGTTTCCTCTGCCAATTCTCATCCCATAAATTGTTCAATTTGTCTCATCCTATGTCCAAAGTTGGTATAATGGGCTATTTACAGCTTTAAGTACCAAGGGACCCAGTCTTGCCCCATCCAAACAAGAAAACTAAACATGAAGGTAGGAGAGATATCTGTTTATGACAGTGAGGGTTTAAATCCTTTTGAGAGCATGAAAGTCTCGTCTCTTCAGTTGTCATAAGATGGAACAAATGAATGTTTCCCTCTCTGATATAATGTAAAGAATGAAGCTATTCTTGGATGAGTGATGGTCACTCTGCTTCCAAGCAGTGGTGATACTGAACTGAAGGGCTGCTCACTATGTCTTCTGTACTGTTACCAATATTTTAATAATTTTACACATTCTCCTTCCCCTCCCTTTGAGTGACATGCCTCACTTCAAGAATTTGATATGGAGGAAGAGAACATTCTTTAATCATCCATATTGATAAACAGTGATGATTACCATTTCACTCATATTGAATCCCCTGAACACAGGCTCCTATTGTGCCCTCATTTATTACATCCTCACTTCCAGTTTAATTTCCTAATTTCCAGGAGTGTCCTCACCATTCCTATGAACAGACAGAAGCAAAGTATAACCATGGGGCCGGTTCTATAGCTCTATGTGTGTTTTGACAATATTGGGGAGATCAGACAATATATTTTAAAAACTCTTGATATCGTGGATGCCTGTTATTTTTCAGATGAAAAGTGTAATATTTTTATTGATGTTGTTTATTCTTCTTGGCTTTTAATGTAGTGGTATTACTTTATATCCTTTAAAATTAACTTCACCTGACTGATGTACAATGAAATGTAGTTTAAACACCTCAGGAAATTCATAATAACCTTATTATTTATAAAAGAAATTTTGATACTTAGTACTAAAAACAAACATTTTTTCAAATGAAGTATCACACAAGGAACATGCAGAACACAGAATTTGGAATTGTTTTATAGAGTAAGGACCAGAGGAACTTACTCCTGTTGAAAACTGTTTAGTGTTATGTTTGTTTATATTCTTGATATCAATAAATTGAATAATTTCACAGCATACCATAATTGTTTTCAACATATATACAGATTTAATGAATTTGAAGTATGGATAAAAATTTATACAGTGAAATTCACAATATGAACCAAATTTTTTCATAATGTGGTCTAGTTACCAGTGTATTTCATGTATTTTGCCCTTTTCTGAAGAATGCATGGTCTTAACCTTCTGTCTGTTTTCTCACATTGTATTGCATTTAGTTCACATGTTCCTTCCTTTATAATATTGAGGATGCAGTTTATTATACACTGTGATCATCTGAGAACTTGCTTCAAATTGTTTAGCTGCCCAGGCAGAATATGATGCATACAACTTGGCAACATCTAAGAAGTTGTCAGATGTTCACACTAGTACACGGTCATTATGAGGTGTCTAAATTACAGTTGAACCATAGACTAGCAAATCTGAACTTAATTTGTTTTAATAACTTCACCCCCACAATGACTGAT